GTTATTGCTCCCTTTGTGGTTTTTATTTACTACTCTGCACTTCAAGATTTGTATGGGAAACGCACCACTGTAAAATCTCCTACCATGAAGGTTCTTTTCTGTCTCTTGGTTTAATTAAAGTTGATCATAAAACACAAAGAGAGGGAAAGAGGGAACTCATATACTGGAAAAAGCACTATAAATATTTTCCTGGGGTCATGAACACCACCTTGTATCACTTCACCCAGTGTTGTGGAAAGAATTAGACAACCCTTTAATGAGATGTCTAAAAGGTGTTTACAATTCAATCCCAAATTAACATAGCTTTTTTCTTTAAAGAAAACATCCCATCATTCTTAATTTTGTTATTTTGTTATATGTTGTATGATTTTGTTATTTTGTCAAATTTATTTTCAACCTTTGAAAATAGGTCACTGCCAGTAACTTGGCAGTGTCAGACAAATGTTTGACTTTTATTCTGACACTTGCTGAAGAATTTGATTGAAACTATATATGTCTAGATAACACCCAACAAAGTGCCCCTCTTGCGTTTGTTTCAAGATATTTTTGGAAACAACAGAGGCGACCTTGGACAGAGCTGCTTTTCCAATTTAGGAATTCATTTGGTCTAAGAGAGTAAAATTATACTCTTTAATCCTTTAGTGTACCCACAAACAAGACAGTTTAATTTTAAGCTAGGGCAGAATTGTTTTTCTGTACCTTCTTGACAGTGTTGATCTGTTTAGGATAAGAATTAGTTCAGGTAATCAACAGTTACTTTCAAATGTACATATAAATAGTCTCTCATGTATCACATGCCCCTTAAAAATATTGTGTAATCCAGAATCTCAGCAGCCCTTTATGTAACACCTTTGCTCCTCTAGAACCAGTGCCAATAAAAGGTGTTTGCCTTTGTCTTTGCTTAGAATAATGGGATTTCAAGGCAGAGCTCACAGAGACTTGATGTAAAATCTAAATGGGGGCTGGGATGGGGCTGACACCTGTCCCCTCCAGCACAAAGGGCTTTTGTCAGGCTCCCAGGTGAAAAGCGAAGGTCCCCTCTCCCCCAATTGTTCTCTCCAGAGTTGGGTTTGCCAGCTGTGCAATAGTCTCTGCAAGGTTTTATTGCATCTAATCACTAAGGATGTGTTAAATAGTTTGCACTTAATTTTCTATACAATCGATACATTTTAATTCATTTGTATCGCTCTGCTACAGACCTCCTGCACTCAGGGACAAAATGGGATTAGTTTGTGGCCATGATAATGCAGTTTCACTGGAAATAAAAGGAGAGCTGACAGAGTAAATGTTCTTGTCATTTATCCTGTACAAGATTTGCTCCCTTCAATATCAATGTTGTCCAGTGTTACCTAATGATCAAATCCAAGGAATAACATGGAAACTAAATCTAGACATGCCAGTGGGATCTATCTGGGATAAGTGGCATATGCTTGGGAGTATATTGTTTATATTAATTTGATCACACTGTGTCAATGCACACTTTTATAGCTCTGTTACACTCTGACTGTGACTGATGGCTCAAGTTCTAACTCCAGAATATCCAGTTCCCTGATTTTATGGCATTGTCATGTAAAGTATTTGTGGACAGCTTAAGAGAAGAGACTCTGATCCTGTGAATTCATGTGACTACATTGGCACATCCACAAATCTGGTTAAAATGAACTATTTGGTACAGCAACTCCCATCACAGAATCACAAAATAATTGCCAAATACTCCTAGTAAATTCTGTTGGCCATGTAGCCAGATCAACAAGTTGCTGCATTAATGTTACTTTCTGGATGAACAAACATCACTCTGGAAGGGAACAGAAGCAAAAATAAGAATCCAGTCCTGTCTCTGGGCTGTGATCTCAGGGCATGCCCAGGATTCCCAACCTGATGTCCCTGTGAAACCTCCTGGTTCTGATCCTGAATATTGTTGTTCAGGCCCCCAAGCCCCCATCCCAGCCCGAGGTTTGGATTGTTGGAACACAAAGGAATGACATCTCAAACGTCACCGAATTTCCCAGCACACGACTCAGTGTCCTCGCTTGGAGTATCCTCAGCTGACCCTGCCACTGCCTGAGAAGCAATTCAGGAGTGAAATCTCTGGACATTTGAGATGTGAGAATTCATTGAAAAGTGTAATGGAAAGGTCAGAACAGATACAAATAAACAAATATGATACAGACAGATATAAAGCAAATTCCTGAAGGAGCTTTTAATTATATTGCAACAAAGAATTTCAAACTTAAAAAGCATCACAACTCCTTCATGGAGCTAATGGAGTCAACAAAATGAAATGTGAGATTTTTCTCCTACCCTGAGATTTTTTTGTAATGCCAGAGAAGATCAGGAGAAGCCCTGTGTGCATGTGTGCACACAAGGTTGGGCCTCACTTAAAAACCAGAATACAACCTGGAATTTGTGGGCTTGTTCTTTGTACATTTCAGTTTTCAACAAGTGTCTACTTTGTCCTGTAGATGAAACGTTAATTATATAACCTGGCACTGAAATAATTGGGAATTCTATTTTTTCTTAGAGGAAATTAGAGGAAATGAAGCTATTTTTAATATTGTATTATATTATTTGAACATTGTTCAATGTTGTCTTAAAAAATTGTAAAGATGCATGAATGTGAAAGAGTTGCCAGAGAAAAACTGGCTGGCTTGGAGCATGGTAAGGGATTGGGAGAGTTTGGGTTTCTGGTTTATTGCCCCAGCCAGCTCTGGACAAAGCTGCTGTTTCTGCTTGTCTGTCTGCTCCTCAGTGTGCTGGAATTGGCTGGACTAGCCCTCAAATAGAAGAGCAGCAGATTTGTTCCTGAGCACTAAATCTTGTTTTTTCATATGAGAACAACTCCAGGGTAACCTCAGTTAATGAATAACCCAGTCAATGGTGAAAGCTCTTAGTCTGATAAATTTGGCCTTAAACAAAAACTTTTGTTGATACAAGCATATACCACAGGGGAATAAAAACATTTTCCCCATGAGAAATTCATTGTCAAGAGAAAAAAAAGATAATTTAATATTCATATCATTTTATGAAAAAAGAGAAGTCATGTTTAAAAAAACCCCACAATTTTATAATACAAAGTTTAAATTTTCAAGAGAAAACTTAGACTTATCTGGGGAAAAAAAAATACCAAACCCAGGTTCTTTAGTCAATACAAAAAATTAAAACCAATTCAAAATGCTTTAATGGAGATGTTGTACAAGATGTGTAACAAGATGTACATCTGTTACTAAGTAGTTAATTTAGAATCAGATGAACTCCTCATCACAGGCTCAGCAGTGTTTCCAGTATTATATCCCACAAGGAAAGACATGAATACTGGAGTTTCATAATAAAGGAAATTTCTTTGATACAGCAGCTGCATCAGAGCCAATTTCACCTGCAAACACACAGTGCTAATGCAATTTATCTTTGTTTGAAACAATCCTTATGGGTACATCCCGTTTTTATAAAAGAGCATTCAACAAACAGAGAGGTTTGCAATGTTGTGGCTTCCCTGGTGCATAAATATTGAATCCCCAAATACAACATTAGCTAATTAAGTTGGGGGTGATTATTGGCTGGAGGGAAAGAACACATTAAGTGAGCATGGGTTAAGCCTGCCCTCTTACTGCACGTGCTGTGGTTGCTCCCTGAATGCAAGGAGGATGTGGGTTTCCAGGAGATTAAACTCAGCAATAATTCGCACCTGGAATCTAAAAGGAAGCCAAAATAAAAATTGGATGGAGCTTCTTAAATTGCAGGGTGCTGCATAGACTGTGTGGAACTTCAGCCAAAGCTTCCTCAAAACAAGAATCCCTCCAGTAAAATGGCATTGAGAATTCTGCTCTCAGCTGAAGTTTTTCCTTGGCACATACCAACACATTCTATGGAATAGTCAGGAAAACCCAAGAGAAGAGGTGGGACTGTCCTGCTCTGTGGCACCTCTGTCTAAACCAGCCTGGAATTATGGTGACAATGTTTTTTTAAGTGGTGCTGGCAGAACTCTGTGGGACTGCACGGTCAGGCTTATCACAATCGCTTGGTGAAAGATGATTATTAACTCAGTTCAGTTTATGGCCACATAAAAAATAAGAGGGGTGGAGAGCTGCAGGTGAGGAGCTGGGAGCAAGGGACAAGGAGGACAAAGGGCTGGAGCTTCCTAAATTACCCTCTCCCTCAAAGAAAACAACTTTTGCAGAGCTGCACCTCTCTCTGCAGTCCCTGTTGTCCTCACTGTACTTCAGGGACAATATGAAGACAAATTAGAAAAGTAACAACTGTTTTATTAAAAAGCTCCCAAGCCAAGGTGAAATCTTCCCTTTCATCAAAACCTGCTCCCCTAATGGATGTTGAGTGATCACAAAGTTAAACAGCAGAAAACAAGACAGAATTTTATCACTTAAGAAATGCCTACCAGGCAATCAGTGCTGGAAGGCAGGAAATTAATACTCATAACTTCTGGTTACTCTGGCAGCAGGGTTGTGCTCCTCTCCTTCGTGTAAGTCTCAGAAAATGAAATACCAAGATACAGAATGATCACCTGGGCTTTTGATTTTCCAGGGAATGCTTTTTCCTGCATCAACTCATTGTCCTCCCCTCTGAGAACGTATGCATCTGTTTAAGTGGAACATATAGTTCTGGCAATGTGTCGCCTACACGATGGGATAAATCAGACTGAGCCTCTTTCCTGATGTAATGTCTTGGACAGATCCCTCCTGAGTTCCTCCACGGGATTTTGGAACAAACAAAGGGAAATCAGACTGCCCTAATTAGTGCACCCCATCATTTACGCTGACTTTGTGACTTTTATTTAATGCCACAATAACTCCCAGACACGCTGTACATGTTCTGTGTATTGATAGGTAATATGAGGTGAAATACAAGAACAGGGAGAATGCTCACACAAGAAACTGTGGAAAACACCAAAATACTGCAATCCAGTTGTGGGTTATTATGTAATTCAAGTAGACAATATTTTTCAATCTCTTAAGCAATGAAAATTTAAAATATGTAATAAACCCTACCTTACCATGTGTCTTGTTTATGGTCAGTTTAAGGATTGCAGACTGTGCCAGTCTGGTTTGGGCTCTGCCTTTGCAAAATTAAGAGAGAGAAGTTGCAAAGGAAACCTTCCTAACAGTATTTTTCTGAGTAAATGCTTTCATCCTGAGCTTTATTAAAAACACACGTAACTAATGCAAATGCAATAACAACATACCTCACTGCCAGCAGTTTGTGCAACATCATTAAGATATGCATAAAAATGTCATATAAAATCAAGATGTCTGCTTACAGGAAACGTTAAGACTCTCCTTAAGATTAATAGGATGATAATTTCTAGGGGAATAATTCACTCCTGCTCCAAGTATAACCCCTGTGCACTGAATGAACTAACCTCTTTTGAGTCAATCAAGTCACACCTACCTGGGATAAAAGAGTCCGACCCAAATAATCCATAATTAGATCCTCAGCTGCCAACACTATCAATCTCCTGAGGTCTGGGGTGGCCTCAGCTGCCCTCATTCTCCAGCTGCATTTCAGGGAACACAATCCATTCTTGAAAGAAAAGGGAAATTTTTCAGGCATGTGAAATATTAAAATAACGTTGTTGGACATTCATTGTCTTGAAGTATCTTAATTTGTTGCCATTAACATATAATCAGGAACCAGATGATGACCTTGCCAAGCAGAACAGCAATTATGTTATTGCTTATGTAATTGGGGGCTGCTTGCTGCCTTTTATTACACCTTGAAGGGGAATTCAGATGCTGTTCATACAGATTGAAGTTCTTAATATCATGTTCAGTCTGCCAAAATCACTACCCAAAAGTTCAGCTGTGTACATCTTGTACACAAATTCATTTTTAGAAAGCCAAAAAACTGGATCAATACTGAAGTTATAAAATAATTAATTTCCCTATTATTCTCATTTATTGGGTGTTTAACATCTGTTACCTTTCAAGAACATGATATTCTTGGGATAATTCAAATTGATACTCTCTGTTTCTAGCACTATTTTTCCAGTGGTCATTACATAAATGTAGTGGTTACATGTGGCTTTAAAATTCCTCAATGATATAACTTAAAACAAAAATAAATATTTCAATTTTAGCAGCTTATGATGTAATTAAATGAAAAATGTTGCATGCAAAGATTTCAATTTTATATAGAATCCCTTATTCACAGCACAGCCCTTATAACTCTTAAATCTGAAAAAGAAAATCTTACTGCTATCAGGTACAAATAAAACTCATTCCTTTCCAAAACCATCTGGATTAAATCCTTTCAAGCACTAACACACCGGGGCACACAGAATCCTTCCCAAGGATCAGGAGGCCCTCACACAGAGTGCAGGGATTTTTTCCTCATTTCTATGGCATATGTTGTATCAGAAATCACAGTTAAAAGAAATTTCATGCTCAAAATGGAAATCTTTTCTCACATGTAACTCAGCCAAAAATTCCTGTGATGGCAGAATTAAATTTGGAGTTGTTCTCAAATGGTAAGGAAGCTACAATATGGAACAATTACCTTTTTTTAATTCCTAACTACAAAAATTGTTACTTTCTCTGAACATTTATAATCATCTTAAAGACTCATCAGTAGCTGTCAAAGAAGTCCATTGTCTCTGCCCAGAATTTCTTTTGAATTTTTTAGAGGAATTTGCATATGTGCTGATCTAGAAGAAATAATTAATCCCTTTTTTATGTAAAATGCAATGAGTGCAGCAGATGGGAAGTGATATTCACTTACAAACACATGTAAGCAGCATCTTAACCTCAGCTGGGATTGTTTTTGCCACGACACTGAAAGGTGGACTGCTACCAGAGGGCCACAACAAACACATAAATTAAATTCCAGACTGGTCAGACTAGAGAGAGAGAACAATTTTGGTGATTTCAGTGTCTATCTTCTGCCAATATTTTTATTTTCTTGCTCTAAAAATACCCCTACAGGAAAAAATCTCACTGCATGTAACTTCTTTCTGTTGAGTCATTTGGTTTGTTTATGAATCCTATGTAGAGGTGCAGTTTTCCAAAACACCTCCTGCATACAGAATAACTCCCCTCTGAACAGACTCTCTACCTGAGCATCAGGGAAACAAATAAACCTGTAGCTGAGGACATTTCAAGGACAAGGAAAATTACTGTTGAGAGGAGAATTATCTGATTTGGTTCATGTTTATTTTTACTTATCTTGAGCAATCTGCTCTCCAACAGAAGATGCTTATTTGCAGAGGAGAAAACTGTCACCTTCTTGGACTGGTGCCCAACTGGAGCAACGGTGTCACTAAGGACAAGAAATACACCCTGAGCGTGGATTAACTCATGTAACAGTGACCAGTGTTAGAGAACCAATGGTTTGTGTCATATATGTCAACTAGTTAAGGATAAATTCTTCATTTCTTCCCATCATGCTTCTTACCCACTAGGCTAAGTCTGCCTTCCACCCAGGAGGTGAATATTTCCAAGTAAAATATTCTACATGTGAAACTTTAGCATTAATTATTTCCAAAGAACTTGTGTAGGGAAGCTCTAGGGTACAGCTCTGTTAATTTATTTTACACGTGTTTGCTGCCAAGTTAGGAGGTTTTACAATTTCACAAGAATTCTTCCTTTGAGGAACTGCTTAGAAAAAACTTCTTCAATCCTGTTATCCTGTGATGAAGGAACAACTCCAGGTTGAGGTAAACCTGACTGCAGCAGCCTGGTGACTGCACAGGTTAAGAAGCAGAAAGGCCTGTTAAATTTTTTGCTGCAACTGAATCGCAAAGAAAAATGCAAAAGGGAAAAATTAAGGCTCAACCCTTCCATCTGCTTAAGGCTCAACCCTTATTTTTAGTTTATTTCTCATGCAGTGACTTTGTCTTGCAAACTCTTTCATGTGAGGCATTAACTAAGGCTGAGTTACTGGTGTGCCAGTGATGGTATCCAGTAGTTACTGAATATAAACCTGGGTGTTTGTGTGCTCTGAGTCTTTGCCTCAGTAATATCTTTAAATATAATAGTCTCTGCCTGTTGGCTTGTTTTCTCATAGGGAGGGTGACAGAACATTTTGTGTTCTCTTATCTTCAGCAGCAATGAAACAGGAGGAGCTCCACAATGCGAAACCAAATCTACTGCTATTAATACAACATCCCAGCCACAGAGAAGAGATTTGTTTATTTACCAAAGCTAGAGATGCCTCTCTCTGACCTTTCTTGTGCTTGTGTGCTTTAGCTGGGAATAGATTCCTCAGAACTGGGTGCTCTTTTAAAAATATACAGTAAAAAACATACACACAACACCCCCAAAACAGAGCCCAGGCTGCAGCCCAAATTGCATGAAGTGACACACACAGCTTTGGGTAGTTAGAATAAGTCTAACTAGGGCACAGTCCATATTCAGTTTTGATTCCTCTGCTAGAGCACGGAGATCAGTCAGCTCTCCAAAGCCCACTCGTCTTCCTCGCTGCCACTCAGCGACACGTTCTGACTATAACCATACATGGGCCCATTTTCTGTCTGAGGCCCAACAGCTCCCTGCAGCCCCAGAAACCTGCCAGGATGGATCTCCTCCTTCTCTGCATAATTAAAATGTGCTTCACACTGGAAGGTACTTGGTTAAAAAAAAAAAAATCCCAAACAAACCAGGGATTCTTTTTCTGGGATTTGCCCTGCTTTACCTGGGTTTTAAACCAGTGAGAATCATCAGATACACAAATCAAACATTCTTTTAACTGTATTTTTTACAGTTGGTTGTGTTTAGTGAGTGCCTCTACAACTTAAAATAGTATCTGGACGAGTTAAATCTTGCATTAGCACTAGGGATTCAACCTGGTTTAACCTCACAGACTCAGGGGTTTTTTGTTAAGCTGGTGCATCTCTGGTATAGCAAGAGCCAGGAGTTCTCCACAGCTCCCTTTGGTGATCCTTGCTGGACTCCAGCCTTGCTGAAGTTCCCCAGCTTTCAGCTCCTCAGAGGCAGCAGCCCTGCACCACAGCTGGCAAAAAAGAGTGTGGGTTATGTTCCTCAGCCACTGAGTTCTCCAGCTCAGTACATTAATTCAACTTAACCCTGATTTTGGTACCTGCTCCATGACTGACTGACATTTTTGTCTACGCAGACTAATAATGACTTAGAGAAGCAGATTTGGGAGTAGGAACAGGAAACAAGAAAAGGAACCAGCCCTACGTGTCCTGATTCAGAAGTAATAATCATTAAACAATTTATAAAAGGGAATCAACAGTCATGCCATGTCCTTCTCCAATATTTACGATAGAAGGCAGCACCCAGGCCTGTGGTTTGACAATGCCAGTAAGCTGTAGAATTAGAACAAAGAGGCAAGAGTCCAGAGCATGAACTGTCTTTTCTCTATAACCTCTGGGCAAAATTATCTATAAATAAAACCTTCCAAATATTATTCTCAACCATACAGCAGTCTGGAAGGCCAAAAAACTGTCTTTCATTACTCCAGAGACTACTTCACACTTTTGAAGGAACTGGTTTAGCAGTGATGCATCCCCTCATGCTCTGACCAACTTCACACTTCATTTTTTATCCAAATCTAAGTAACAGGCTTTGGGGACCTTGTCTCTATTCCTTCCTACTCAAGTCTGTTGCCATCTGCCTGATCCCCTCGGTGACTTTATAATACTTCTTTTGTGTCACCACAACTCCTGCTGCCTCTAAGTGAAACTTCCCACACCTATCTGCACTCCCTGCTTTTGCATCTTCACTGTCTGCATCTGCAAGTGCATGAATAAAGGCTTGTTTGTGTGCACAAAATTTACTATGACCACTTTTACAATTCAGGTTCAGGCAGAGAACTCTGTACACACAGCAAAGCTCTTCTCCATGGAAAATTGTCAAAAAGCAGGAATTAGGGGAAAGTTCTGTGAGGAACCTGTGGAAAGGGGTCCCTCACCCTATGTGAGTCACAGCTGGGGTTTCTCCCTGGCAGCTGAGACCGGTGATGTGAGAGGTTAGGCAAGAGTGGGAGCAGATTCCTGTGAGGCTTCACCAGCCAAATTCCTATCTAGCAAAAGGTTGCTACAGCAACTCTGAGCCTCCTGAGATACAGAAATTATTGTGATGGTTGCTGAAATGCCTCCCCACTGCTCTGAGACAGGATAAGGAAAATCCTTCCCTTTGATACAGAGTGGTTGCCCACTGCCACACTTCACATCAGCTCTATACAAGCACCGGGTTTCCTGAACTTGCCCAGGAGCTCATGGCTACTTTTCCCTTTCCCTCATTTACACACAGACATAGAAATAAGAAACCTAAACATCTCACAACAAGAACTACAGTTCCAACACCTTTTTTTTCCCATGGAGACCATAAGAGAAAAAACAAATCATATGGCAGAAGTTAATATACTGCTGAGTGGGCTGAACAGAATTTAAAAACCTGTACAAAGCCAAAATATGTATTTTCCAGAGTAGAGTTTGTGGTTTTCAAAAACCACATAGACAGAAAAAAGCATAAACAAACCAAACCAGGACAAAACCCCTCAGATCTTCTCAATGACTCAATGTCAGCAGATTTTTGGCTGCCCCCAGCCTGTGCTTGTTTTCCTCTGGCACCTGTCCCGCTCACAGGTCGTTCAGTCCACTGGACTACGTAATAAATACCAGACAGAGATGATGCTTTAGACAGAACAGGAACACTTGTGACTGAAACAGGTCCTGAATCTAGAATGGGGTGGCCTGAGGACAATGGGGACACAGAAACAGCAAAAGGTGTTAGTGGGAAAATTTTCCCGAAACTTCTCCCATTTCCCTCCTTTTCACTTTTCAGCACGCCAGTTTGGTCTAGAAGCCAAAAATGAAAGCAGCAGAATTGCTGATCTGAAGTAGTACCTGTGCTTACCTGAAATAACTGGCTGAGATTTCAAATAATTTCTTTAAAAATAGGAGTCACAACTTTTGTACACCTGCCCATTTTTAAGCTGAGCATTACATTTTGGCCACAACAAAAAAGACCAAATTTCTCTTGGTATAAATCCAGCCAAACCCATGCAGTTACCTCCTGGCTGAATTTGGCCCAGCATGCCTAAAAACCCTTAGGGATGGTTCAATTCCAAGCATTGCACTAATCCAATCTCCTGCAGTTGCTGAATGCTGTGATATTTGATGTCAGCACACGGCATCTGAGACTTTTTGACACAAGCTTGGTGTCATTAATAGAGTATTCCACTGCTTTTTCACTTTTCACCAGGTCTGTAAGCTTTTGGATTAACACTGAAAAGCTTCAGAACAAACCCTTCTTTCAGCGTGAGCAAAATATCCTGTTCAAGTCGGAGAAAATTTTTCTTTTTACTTCTCTCAGTTTAGTGTCTACTGTGAAGATGATTTTCAGAGATCAAGAAAAGCATATAATGTTTAAAACAAAACATTTGTTAACTAAGGATTTCCTGGATATTTCTGCTTTCTTATTTATACTACGTCCTGGACCTTGTGAAATCACTGTTTAACTTTCAGTATTATTTATGGAAGCAAGCCTGTTGCTGTTTCCAGATCTCACAGAGAACTTTCAGTTTGCAGTTTCAGTACCAGGTGCATAGTCCTGGTTCAAATGAATCAACTAAAAAAGCAATATAAAATAAGTATTTAACCCTCTCACATCCTGGCTGGGTCTTCATGGGTAGAATGTTTCTCTACTTCTAAGCTCTCTCATTGGAGTCAGGCTCCTGAGTCTCCAACCTTCCTCTTGTATGACAGTTTGGAATTTGGGAATGCACAGCCTTTTCAGTGCAGCAGAGGTATGAATAGTTTTGGGGCTTTTCTGTAGTGCATAGAGATTTAAAATATTTCCCCCTTGGTTATACATACAAAATACCAAAGCATAGAAAGAGATTCCAGGAAATTAACAAATTTTATGAGGCTTTGCATGCTGCCACTATTGATCAAAGCTTTTCAATCCACAGCAGAAAGAGGCAGACAAGGCATAACGATTCAGTGCACTGGATGTGTGATAAATCATTATCAACTTCTGTGCTGTCAGTGTGACTACTCTGACTTAACAGCCACGAGGGAAAAAATCAGCTTCAAGTGGAACCCTCCTCAGCACGTGGCCCTGGATTTGCAGGCTGTAGCACTATGTGCTGTCCCTCACAGCTGCAGAAACCGAGTGCAAAGTGATTTAAAATGTGAGCAAACCAGATTTTTTAATTTTTTTTTTTTAACATTTATTTGCATGGGTAGAAGTGACCGTGCAGATGGGAAATTCACGTGGCTGCTCCAAGCAAGGCTGGTAACGGTTGCACAATAAGGACTACAATAAAAAGGATGACAGCAATAATAAGTAACTAATTTAAAACTCTGCTCAGATGCTGTCTTACCTTCCAGTCCTCTTGCTGACACCTGTAGCTGTGTGTCACATGACAGAAGACACATGGAATCATTGCTCAGGCTCCAGCATCACACCAGGGTTGGGTAAATCTGCTCAGGAGGCTCCTAGGATGACACAGAGAGGTTACAGTCTGATGGTGGAAGAAGGATGAAATATTGCTGTTTTACAGTGTTGTTGTTTTTCTTTTAAACCTGGGGAAATGCATCCCTAAGTCTTTATTTAAAAGAGAAAATATTAGGACTTCAATATCAAGCAAGCAGTGAAATTAGAAAATTTTAGTGTTAGAAAAAGAAGCCAGGAATCTTGTAATTAAAGATTCCTTCAGGGCATATGCATGGAAAGGCAACCTTTATTCTGGCATTTTCTAACTTCAGTGTACTTGCAAATTATGCATATTTTGGCAAAGATTTTGTATCTGTAAAATGTATATATTATATATAGAACTGAATTAATCTCTGATATATTTTTGCCTCATAAATACAGTTTCCTGTTTCCATGCTAGAATCTACAACATTAACATATTCACATGCCAGTTGCTGGATTTATTCTTGATAATCCAAAGGCTGAGACTGGACGTGCTCAGCCTCTCCAAATTTCAGTCTTATCTAGCATTTTTTCTGAGTCACCCAGATAAATTATCTCAATGTCCTGGTAAAGTGACTTCTCTTGTCCAGGGGCTCTGGAGAGCTCCAATTTTTTTTCCACATCTGACATACAATTATAAGTTCAAGTGCTAAGACTGATGAATAGAATTTTTCTTCTTTGTCACTGATTTAATTTTTGAGACTGTAATGTCATAAGAATTTCTAAATAAAAGTAGTTTTAAAAAAACAGTGTTAGCAAGAGTGTGGCAAATTTATTTCAGTGTGCAACAAGCCACATAAAGAAAAAGCAACACAACAAATCTGAAAATAATCTTTCTGTAGAATAGGAAAAGTGTAAGAAAGGTTGAAGGAGAGACACACTAATTCATCTTCTTGAAAATCATGAAAGAATGTGACATATTAATTTGTACTTGAACAGAGTATTTCATCCTCCAGAAGGAAAAAAAAAGTTTTCTATAATTTTTTTCCCATAAATTAAATAAATGAGCTAACAAATTATAAAAGAAGAAAAGAACATATTTAACTTTTATTGCACTCAAACTCCGAATTATACACATGGTTCATTTCCATTCATGTCCTCTTTCTGTAATATAAATGTTCTGCAAAAGCAGCAAAACTGCTCTTTGCTGCTGCCTTCAAGTGGAAGTTTCTCTGTGTATTATGCAAACATTTGAGTCCCATTTAATTCAGTGAAAACTGAGGCCTCTGTTGGACCCAGGAGCTGAGCACAGAGTCTTCAGTATTCACCTGCACACCCATCCCATGGCCCTGTTCCCTCTTTGCTGCCTGAGGACGCTTTCAGGGACAAAAAAGGCAGGCAGAGCACGAAGCATCCTCTGACAGGCTCAGAGAACTGATGTGCTCACTGAAAACATCCCAGATGCCAGGAACAAGTTTGGATCAGGAAATCCTGACTGCCTCCAGTGAAGGGTTAATGAAGGATAAGTGTGTGTGATAACATTTGCTGTTTGGTGCTCAAATAGCACTTCCTTATGACAATATGCATTACTTAATCTGCAAAGGTCAATGGATTGCTCTTCAGTTCCTTCCAAATGCCTGTGCAATGAACTTTGTCATTTTTCATACACGTTTCTCAGCAAAGAACTGGTGGTACAGGTTTGAGGCTTAAAATGCCTTTTCAGCTGCAAACAACTTTCACTGCACTGTATTTCCACACTCCCCACACAGCTTTAGAACTGTCAGGTCTAAGCAGAGACTCTCCTGTAGCCTCACTCTCAATTTGCACAGAACCTTGCACAAGCTAAACAATAACAAGTACAATTATTAATTTCCTTTTAATCCTCTTGCAATATAAACGATCAGCCAAAGTATTGAATGTGAAACACAAGTGCAAAGAGATGTAGGAAAACTGAGATAATGTTATCAACCTGCAGTGTGGCCGTGGTTAGCAGCAGTTTGGAGGAGCAACTCACTCTGCAGTAGATCACTTAAAATAAAAGGTGGAAATATTGCAGGTCAACAGCTTGTCCAAACTGTATAAATGCCCAGAGAATGGTATGAATGAGCACAGCCCTAATCCTGGGAGCTAAACCACACAGCTGCTGCTCCCCTTTTCCCCCATGTGGTGCTCCACTGGAACCAGGCGTGCTGGTGTGGATACCCAGAGCCCCAGGTTTGGGATATATTCTGACCCAGTGTGGATGGTTGGAATAGCACTGGAAATCTCCACGCAGCACCAGGACAGCAGGGTTTAACTTAGCAGGTAGTGGAATGCACAAGCACAGCACAGAGACAAGACTGGGGAATTAGGCTGCTGGCAAGTAGCAGCTGAAAGCTGATTGAACACAACAGATTGGGCTTTCAGACTGGACAGATAGGCAGCAGCTATTTAAATGGAGTATTAACAGTTTTGTTCTTAATTATTTCCAAACCTTCCAGCTAATGCAAGCTCAGCACGGCCTGTATTTTGGCCTCAATTAATTATTTGTTGTTTCTGTGTGAATCCAGCTAAAAGAAGGTTGAGTGGTTTGTTGAGAATTTCTGACTCTTTAAAATCATTCTCTTAAGTGCTTGGCTTACTTCTGCAAGCAGCTGTCATGTAAGTAACTGAATCTATGCCTCACAAAAATGATCACTTTCTCCATTTCAAGTGGAATTTCTTTTTGAAATGACACTGCCCTGCTAGCCAACAAATGGTCACCATTCTGCCCAGTGGCAGGTGGAAGGCCATGAAACTCCAGAGCTAAATGTGGAAACTCTACGCCTTCAGAAAAGGGAGATTCCTGTCTTGCCTATCTTGCATCTTACATTTTGGTCTGTGAGGAGCTGACCCTGAGGCATTTCTACATCTGCAACAGCTTTTTCTAGAATTTTCTGGAAGTATTTATTTGGAAATTTTCTCTCAGATCTTTGCATAGTTAGTCATGTGAAAGCCACAATAGCTGGTTTACACCTCAAAGAATAAAGAATTACTAATAAAAATGTCAAACCTCTCCCAAACATCTCTGAAATAAGAAAATGATCTTCCTAAATATGTTTGAACAGACTGCTTTAATGCAGCTATTTCCAAAAGAGGTCTGTTTTCATATCAGTACTTTCTCTATAAATCCTCCTTAATACACATTTTGTATAAAATACCTGGGATCTCTCATCAGTAATGATCCATAATGCAATATGGATCCAGACACACAATAGCACTTGTGACAGATGGGACAGAATGTTCTACATGACATTTATTCAGCTTGTGAGAGGACAGACATATAAACATTATGGCAGCATAAAGTAAAAAAGGTTCATGAAGCCAACACATGGTCCAGCGTACGGAGTGTGACTGACACAAAGCCAACCCATCCCAAAATCTGACACATATTTTCACTGTCATGGTGAATTTATAGCCTGAGATTTTTACATTCTCTTCCTCAAAAAAACCCTAACCCAAAACACCCTTCAATTTCTGCTTTTTATTTCATTGCACTCAGGAGAAAGAGAACGTCCTCTCATTGAATTGAAGTGAGAATGAGTTTAACTGAGCTTCTTTCCTAATCAGAATAATTGAACTGATGCTTCTTTGAGCCAAAACAGTAAAAAAATAAACTACTGGTACTGCTTTGGTGTATAATGGCTTTCAGGCCTCTTGTTTGGATGATTCAGAAGGAATCAAAATGTACAGAAAAAGTAACAAAACCCAGTCTTGTGTCAGCCAGGATCAAACAAAAGGATTAACTGGCAAGTCATGGTTTCCAGTGGCAACCACAGTTTTTCAAGCAAAACTTGTTAGTGGATAGGAGATTAGGGGTTTGATTAAAAAAAAATTGGACATCACATTTAGTAAGAGTTGAGATGAGCTGCATACAACCCATGCCCATGGAAAAGACATCTTTTTCCCATCAGCCAAAATCTGTGTACAGAAAGAAACATAAAAGCAACAGAATTTGTTCATGGCTGCAGCACACCACTTCCAGCATAAAATGGCTATAAATTGCCCCCAATTCCAGTATTTTGAGGCCTTAACAGGTAGCACAAAAACACCCCAAAATTGCCTCAGCATGTCAGAATACTGAATGCTCCAAGTTTTCTCATGGAAGATGAGCATCTCCAGGCTTTGAAGGAATACCTGCCAGATTCCCACAGCTTGGTGATTGGACATTTTTTTTCAAAGTGGTGCTTGCCTTTAAAGGTCAGTTTAATCAGTGGAGATCTCCCAGCCTTGCAGAGCACCAGGGAATTCTGCCCAGCAAATATGAATTAGCAAATCCACTCATCCCTTCCCACAGTTGTCATTAACAGGTGCTGCATGAACAGAGGCCAGAAACAATTCATGTCTTTACCATTCTCAATGAGATTTTTCATTCGCCTTTCTTCTTAGCTTTTTTTCCTGTGGCATTTGAAATGAGCAGACTCTTGTATCTGCAAGGTAATCAAGCTCCCATTTGGGAACGGTACATGAACTCAACACACTGCCCTGAGGCCCAGGCCTGAAGGAATTTCAAGTGTGCAGAGATGGAATATGCAAAGACAGGAATAGGAGGTGGTTTAACCCAGCAGGCAGCTAAACACCACACAGCCCCTCACTCACACCACTCTACAGCAGATACTGGCAGGAAAATTAACTCTCTCCCAGGTAATACCAGGCCACAGGAACACGGTGACATTGCTCACTGTGAGAAGGAAAGGGCATTTTTGGACTGGGGAAGCAGAGGTGCATGTAAAACGATGTGATTTGGAACAACAGTGCTTCCCTCTCCCTTTGCACAGGTACAAAGAGCTCCACAAGTGTTGTTCCACTTCAGTGCTGCCACAAACTCCCCAGGTGAAGGCAGCACCAGCCAGTAGTGGAGTAGCAAGAATGCTCCTTGTGTTCTTTCAGTGCTGCAAAATTTCTGGCTGCCACACCTAAATTATTCCTGGAGTACCTGGTGCTCCTCCTCCCACTCCTACATGGATGACTGAAGCTACAACGTGGTCCTAATTTTGCAGCAAGTCTCAACAAGAACAGTAAACAGTCCACAGCATTCCTGGCACACAGAGCAGACGGGAGCAAGAGTTGTCTTTAAGCAATTGCCATCCACAAAGAACAGAATATATTTTCCAGTTAGGAATTCTGGATAGAAGCTATGAATCCCAGATAGACAGATTGTACTGTACTCTCCATTTCAGCTATAGGTTTTTGAATTTGCAGTCAGAATATGGCAGGACAATGTCTGATAATGCTTTTGCTTTCTCTTTCAATCCAAGCTTCTTTCACGACTCCTTTGAAGGCAACATTATACAAACATATCTGGTGCTGTATGTTCTTTCCATTTCCAGCAAGAAAATGAGATTATTTCGGTTTTAATTTTATTTAATCATCCTCTGATATCTCATATTTATCTCTATAAATTTATATTTATTTATCACTATATTAAATGAATTTTGTCACTAAATGCCTTTAGTAGGGCAGAGAAACAAAGTACTTTCCCACGCTAGCCAGTGTTAGAATTAGAACTGTATTTCTTAAAATTCTAATCCATTGTTGGTTAAGAAAAAAGTCCAAATCTTCATCTACTACACACTTGGGTTCCAAACCTTATTTTGCCCAGTTCAAAGATCCTGTATTATGTTTCCAGCTGACTTTTTCTTAGAGCTATACAGCTGGAGCACAAAAGTGTTCTGAAATGTCCCAACTGAATTTCAAATGAATATCAGAAATAGGCAAGGATATACATGATACATGTGGAATATGTGTCTAGGGAAATCACAGAAGATCCAGTTTCCACTAGTTGGTTATACATAAATTATTTAGGCAGTAAGCCTGTTGATTAGCTGGAGGCAAAGATATCTATTTTAGGTGTACTTATGGTCAGGATTAACTCATGAAACTTGGATGGCATTGCCCATAAAATGGCTAAAATCGTTTCAGCAACCTCATCCAAAAATGACAGTCTCTTTTTATCACTTTTTTTTTATTTTTTAAATTATTTTTTACTTTTCCTTAACAAATAGGACATGATTTTTGAAAATCATGTGGTAAATGTCTTACAAAACCACACTAGAAACTATTTAGGGTGACAGAAGAAAGAGGACTGGGAGCCAGGAGACCATTTCTATTTCTAGTTCTGCCATAGACTGTGTGACTGTGACTTTGAACCTCAGCTCCCATTTTTGTGAAATGGGGATGACAATTCCTGTTCTCTCAGGGATATTTTATAACATAATTTTCATTTTTTAAGGTTTATAAAATGTTCAAGACCCTTGGTTAGAAGCTGAAAATGCAAATAATTAATCAACAAACAGTAAACACAGTATCAGCACAACTACTATTATTGTTGTTAATAATAATAATAATGTTTGTTAATGTTATTAATATCAAATTATAAGATCACTAGAACTGTTCTGACAAAAAGCCTAAGCTGCAGAGAGAAGGAAAATCATTGTAGCCCACTTCTAAGAACAAGAATGCTGCTGGTAGTGTTTCAATATGGGACTAGAAAAGAATTCTTTAAGTTCTCCATCTGAGAAATTGTAGGTGGTAAAAATGAATATATTTTCAATAATGCTTTGTGACATGGGAGCAGAAGCAGCTTTAAGAGCTTAACAGTATTTTTAAGATATGACTCAGGGGAGGTTTTCTTTTTCTAACAGAACTGGGGGGAGAAAACCACCCAGGAGTTAAACAATCTTTTAGAAACCCAAAACCTTGAAATAGAACAAGAATTGTAGGTCAGGATAATTTGAGTTCACATGCAACAGCATCGACATATAATAAATCTATGCATAAAAAAGCAGAAAGAAGCAGATGTCTTATATTGGAAATACTGAATTCTGACAGATAAACTGTAAGAATTTCTGTTCTGTGAGCGACCAAAACCTACCACAGGTAATTTGGAAGCTTAAACCCCTTTGAAAACCTGTCATTTCTGTGAAATACCTAGATAGATTGTATTAAGTGGTAGAAATGAGGTGAGGAAATGGAGGCATAGGAGATCAATATAACATTTATTCCACTAAAGAAAAACATGTTCAGGTTTGGTTAGAGTCACATTAATAGAGAATGAAGGCAGTCCAGCAGATTTTTTTTCTCCTGAATAGCCCATGTTAGGAAGCATTTGTGAAAACCTTAGAAAGGTAAGGGAAGGTGACAGACACTCTGTAATTGTACCCACTAATCTTACCACAAAAATATTGCCTTTTAAAAAACAAAACCCATGTGGATTGTGGGTTACACAGATTTCTGAGGGTTCAGATTGGAAGACTTTAACTGGTAAACCAAAAAGAGCATTTGATTTTAATCCCTCATTTTGTTTTATTTCATGACAGAGAGAAAAAGAATCACCTCAAAAGAATTTCATATTGAATAGAATTTTGGAAATTCTATTTAATATACCTCATATCCAATAGAGGAGCTTGTTTGACAGCATATAAGAATTTTATCAGTGTCTGAAAACTGAAGTGTGCTACTTCACAGAATTACTAATAATTACCTCTGAGTTTGGAGGAAATCCTCCACCAGAAACTCAGAAACTTCAGCTTGTGTCATATCACAAAGTGTCACACGTCTAAGAAAAGTGGTAGTCATGTGCCTTTAGTCCCAAACAATGCCTGAAAATGGAGTCATCTCCATGAGTAAGAAAAGCTGTTCAGTCTTACATTATTGCTACTCACCTACATGGAGTGCACCTCCATGTCTTCCTTTCAATCTTGAAAAACCAGGGAGAGCGTGACTTTTCCTTGTGATTCAGCAAATACTTGGAATGGCAGAAGCCCATGCCATGGCAGAACTGTTCATGGCACCGTGCAAGAACTCTGAGAAAAGGGAAATACTCATTGTTGTACAAACACCTTGATTACTGCCTCTCATAGGATCAAAAGATTAAAAAACAAAAGAAGTTTCAAAACCAAGTAATTCAGATGGTTCACTTAAACCGGAATCTTATTGTATAAAGCCTGAGTAACTCCCTTGCTCAGGAATTGGTGGTCCATGATCACCACTAAAGTAATTCCACTTTCTATTGCACTATTAAGTGCACTCTCAAATGAAGCTCTGCAGGTAAATACTGCACATGATCACAGCTATGACACTCTCACCTTGTTACAGAGAAAAAATACAGGGCAATTCTGCAACACCCTACAAAATTACCGTTTTCTAAACATTGTGCTTGGCCATGCAGCCCCCTACAACCTTCCAGCCCCATCTACAGAGAGCAAAACTCTGAGATCCAGAAGCCCACAAGGAATATTTACACAAGAAAAAAAAAATGGTAGCGAGCTGCCAAATTAATCAGAATTAGACCGTAATTAGATGGAAAAATCAGGTCAGGATGAGATAAGAATTCAAATCACGTGGGCACCAACCAGTGCTTTATTTCTAAAGTTGCTGTGCATTTTTTAAAATAACAGTCCAGCTGATTTCTTTTCCAGGGAACTGACTCACCATCAAAATAAGGAGAAATTATTTTTTCAGACATGTATGATGGACATTGGTTCTGATAAAATGTTTCTCTCTCCTATACACCTAGATCTCCTACTGACACCAGCATGGGATACACAGATTTTTCCAAGCAGGGAAATTGAGATTATTGTGGCAAATACTCCACTGGAGTCGTCAGAGAAGAACCAAATGATCATGAATAGCATATAGAAATAAAATAAGAAATCTACCAAGCCAAACTGTGATCTCTCACAGTTACTGTCACTGAGATCAGACTCTGTCTCGCTGCCTCTTTACACTTCCAAGGCAGCAAGGAGCTGCTTTGTGCAGGAACAGAGATCCAGTTCTAGAAATCTCCCAGCAGCAACACCACCCTTCGTGTTCACAGTCTCTCAGTCTCTGTGGAAGTCAAATTCTACCTGCTGCTGATACAGGAACACACATTGCCTGGGAATAAAAATTATTCAGAATAAACTCAGATTATCTTAATTATCAACATTCAAACTCATATTTTATCACTTATTCCTCTGCTGGGTTTGTGTAACTGTTTCATCTCAGTATTTTTTGCATTTTGCTGTTTAAGCTATAAGCTTCTTAAAGGGGGAGAGGAAAAAAAAACCCCTTTGACATAATACCATGAATTCAAAGAGCAAGCTGACTGGAAAAAATAGTTACTATATTTAAACTGCATTATCCTATGACAGAACTGCAGATTTAAAACCTTTCCACTTTGATACAGCACTTTTGCAGCATTTTAATATGCCTTGGTAGATTTCAACTGGCTGAAACATTTTAATAACTGTAATTTCAGAGGAATAAAATAGTACTGTGGGAGGAAGAAACAATGCCCCCATTTGTCACTCACTAAGACTTGTACTTGAAATCAGCCAGGGTGATGAGAGCAGTGAGTTTGGTGGTCTCAACATAAGCCCCATTAGGCAATCAGCCAGTCTGCAAAAATTATGACATAATTTGGCACAATTAAGCAGAATATTCTCACTTAGTCTATGTTCACTGAAAGAGATCCTATTGCAGGACAGCATTCATGTGTTTTGGCTCAACAACTGGCATTTTATGATGTGCTCTTCCATGCTGAGTTTAGCTCCACTCAAAACTATTAATCTTGTTTGAAAATGGAGCTAGAAAACATATGTGTTTGTGTACAGCAAGAGACAATTCACATTATGACCAGTAACTCTGCTGTGAATCTGCTTTGCAGCAGTAGGGATGACTTAATGTTATTGCAATTTGAAGGAAAGCATCCTGCAGTCCTCTCTCAGGCCAAATTCCCATTTACTTCAATTAGTAAGCATTACAGGAACTGTTTTAATGCTGCTGCCTGATGTGTTGGCTGCTTCTTCTTAATATATTACAGTGAAAAAAGATAGTAGGCCAAATGTAAGAATATACACTTCCATTACGTGAATGGAATCTCAACAAGGCCAAAACTGCCCCATTTTGTTGTGCTTCTTTCCCAGGTACCACTCTAAGGGGTTCCACTCTACTAGCAATCTGCAAGTTTGCAGCAGCAAAATGAATTGATTTCCTTCCTTAAAAATGGAGAATGTAAAGCTTTCTGCACCTGCCTGGAAGCTTTCATGAGCTTGTTTGCTTCAGGCAGAGCTGAGGTGCTGTCACATTGATGTGGGTCAAAACAGCCATCTTTAGATAACCATCTCCTTTAGATAACCATCTTCTTTAAGAGACAAGACAAATGTCATGGAAAGCCTTATGAATCCTTGCAGAGTGATGGGAAACAACACTGATTTCAACTCACAATTCTAAATTTGTATGATCTCAAGTGATGCCAAATTTAGCAGGTACTGCTTCTGCTGCAGTGTCTACATGGGTATTTGTAGCTCGTTCTGTGCTGTGCTGTCTAGACCATGAATTGTATCTGCAAATGTATTTCAAATCTGTAGCTGTCAGAGAATTTGGAAGGTATCACCTGCAAAGGAATCCTCAGCAGCAGCAGTGGTCCTGCACTTCTAGGGAAAGACAGGGAAATGTGAAGAAAATGCAGAGGTTACTCTGCTCTGGAAGAAAAAGAACTGTAGAACAGTCCTTAATTCAGTCATTCTTCTCTCAAAATTCACTGAGCCATAACAGAACACGTGACAGAAATAAACACAGGCAGAGTCTGTGCTTCCAGGTTCTTTCCAGATTTTATATAGGGTGGAATAAAGGGGGAAGAATCAAGTCCTCTGTACTGAATGGATGATAAACAACGAATGGGAGCTGTCAAACTCTAGCTGAACTAGTGAACCCCAGAGAATGCCAAGAGTTCTCCAGGATTTGCTAGAATTCAGACTCTGTTTGCCTTCCTAGCAGCATTTCTTCCTGTTAACAAGTTAGATAGAAAGAACACAGTATCTACTTTATTTTACCCTCTGCCAAGTTCTAATTGCATGTGCCATGCCTCTGGTATGCTTAAAATAATTTTCCATAAGGCCTTTAGGAAACAGGCACAAAAAGGAAACCAAGAATGACATAGGAAATACAACACAGGGAGAAATAATTTGAAATGTGAGCTGGGTTTGTTTCTAATATCATTTTGTTTTGAAAATTGTTACAGATGCTTAATTGCAATACTTTAAATTAGTAGGAAAATGAAAGGCAGGACTTTCAAGTCCATTACATGTGCATTTGTATATGAAGGCTAGTAAGTATGCTTGTGTATAAAAATAATGCTTGGAAAATGTATTTTTACAAAAAAAAACTTATATATAATCCAGGTTTTATTAATGTGGTAGAAGGAAAAAAACTGCCCATAGAGATACACTGAACTGTTAGTGAAATACATTAATTCAATTCCATATGGAATTATTGTGGAAATCATGTATTTTTAATGTTGCATATGCATATGTGTACATGTTTTGGGGATGGTGACATCATGGGTTCATACCATATCAAGAAAATTATTAAAACTGCTTAGAAAAATTAAAGTAAATTGCATCAGTTATATGCACCTGTCATGTTGACATTCTTCACCTCTGTAACAGGCTAAGTCTATTTAGGTGTAGTGTGAGGTATGAAAAGCAACATAACTGTACTGATGCAACATTTGGCCATGCTGATTAATCCTGCTGATAAGCAAGATGAAATTAATATGGGCATGGCATGGAATAAGTAATTGCTTTACCTGAACTAGGTCATCAGATCTAGCTCAAGAATTTTCATTCAGAACTGCCCTGTGAAGTGTAGGCTGTCAAGTTATCCTTCCTTGGACCTTGGCCATTCACAGAGGAGCCTTTTTGAGCAGTTATACTTTTATTAGGAAGGATACAGGGCCAAACATACCCTAGAACACCATAATTTTAAATGGGTTGTCCCCTCTCCATCCCTTTTCCAGCACAGAGGTAAGACTGAAATATTTCATTCCAGATCAAATGGATGCAGTTTCTTATATCATGGTGCTGTGGGTGGTTTATAAGTGGTGGAAATGCAGATTGTATGTAAGATCTGCATTTTTGTAAGCCAGCACACATGTAGGGATCAAATTTGGTATTTGCACAGGCAGATGTACACAAGAACATCGCTTGGAACCAACTTTTCAAGGTATTTATGCCGCTTGCTGTGTTGTGCGTGTGTGTTGCAGGTGTATTAATGTCAGTTGGCGCTGATTTCTCTCCAGTTTGTGTACACTGAAGTTCCCATAAATTACCGGGTGGGATTGGATGGATCAGTCAGTTTTCTGTGCTGTCGGTTCCTGTGCCAGAGCCGAGGCACGGTGCTGAGGGAAGCTGGTACCTCACCCCACACCCGCGCTGAAAACACAGCGTGCAGTTTATTCCTCCTCACGTTATCGCCGGGGCTGAGTGTGCTGTCACCGGGACGTGTGCGACGGCAACTGGGGACACTGCTCAGTGCCAGCACAGGGCAGGACCTCTGCGGAGTGACCCCTGCCACAGCCCTGAGGCGCACGGCCCTCACCTCTGCACACTCGTGATGGATGAGGCTCCTGTCGCGACAGAGGCCGCTGCAGCCCCACAGAATCACAGTCTTTAGGGTTGGAAGAGACCCCTGAGGTCACTCAGTCCAACCCTCTGCCAAGGCAAGGTGACACAGGAACGCGCCCAGATGGGTTTGGATGTCTCCAGAGAGGGAGAATCCACGGCCTCCCTGTGAGAGTCTCATCCTCACACTCTGACCGGATGATGCTCCGGTCGTGAAAGAGCGCGCCACCCTCACAGTCATCCTTTGACCGGATGATGCTACTGAGGTGGGGGCCAACCCCACACTCACCCCTGGACTGGATGAGGCTCCTATCACGACATGGCGAGGGCAGTGCCCACAGGACGGCTGCCGCTCCTGTCGCGATACGCGCCGGTGNCCCGAAGTCCCTGGTCCCCGCTGGAGAGGCGGCTCGGCTCCCTCGGAGGCGTGAGGGGGGGGTGGGTTTTTTTTTTCTTTTCTTGTTTTTTTTCTAATTTTTTTTTTAGGGCGGCTTTCCCTGTTTTTTTAATTTTTTTTTTTAAAAAAATTTTAATTTTTTTCCTGCCCCTCCCGGCCTCCTCCGCGAAGAGGGAGGTGTGCTCGGGCTCCTCTGCTGCGGGAGAGGGTCTATGGTGGTAGCACGGGGGTGGTGAGGGCTGAGGAGGGGTCTCGCCGCCGCCCCCGCCGCCGCTGAGGAGGAGAGGGAGGAGGAAGAGGCGAGGCACGGCACCATTTGCTGCTCCCTGCCCCAGCCATGGAGAACGCGCACACAAAGACTGTGGAGGAAGTTTTGGCTTATTTCGGCGTCAACGAGAGCACCGGGCTCAGCCTCGAGCAAGTGAAGAAGCTGAAGGAGAAATGGGGCTCCAACGGTAGGTGAGGCGGCCCCGCCGCGGGGATGCTGCCGCCGGCGCTCGCCCTCTTCCCCCCCGGCTCCCTTTCCCAGCCCTCTCTCCTCTCCCTCATCCTTGCCGAGGCCCTGTGCGAGGCCTAACGCGTGTGCACTGGCAAAGCCGGCATCTCTTCCAGGACCCGGAATAGGAGCGAGGGAGAGAAGATGGCTGACTTGAACTCCACCTCGTGGGTTTCTTTCAATCCCGAGCTCGCAGGGCTGCTCTGGGGAGGAGGGTGGCACCTCCGTTCCCTTTCACCGTAACGGTGGGAAACCTTCTTCCATTCTGAAATGAAGCGCTTTGGGGTTTAGGATTTGCCTTTTTTTATATATATAATTTTTTTTTCCCTCCCGTCCTGACCTTCATTTTCTCCAGCTTTTTAGCGCCTTTCAGCCCCTTATTTTATATTCTTCTCTCCAGTCGGGACACAAATACACACGATTTTTAAAAAATTCTCACTGCTTGGCTGACCTAGTCCCTTCTGAACTCCCTTGCCGTTGTGTAAAAATTAAAATCTATGATAAGATTACACGGTGGACATGGTTTTTAAGCTTTAACACTGCTTTTATGCCTCTTGGATTACTAAATCTAGTTGCAGGAGCATAAAGGGGAGAGCAGAAATAAGGACATACCATTAAAATGGAGGAAAGAATCTGAAATATTTTGAACCAAGTTTGATGGTTTGTGTCTTTTTTTGAAGTGAATGTGGAGGAAAAGCTTGGTTAGAAAGCATTTGAAAAGCGTTTTGAGCCTTTGACCCTTTGTGTGCAGCAACAGCAGAAGTCCCACAGCTGGTTGGAGTGATGACTTGGCTGAATTATAACCTTTGGCACATTCCCGCGAACCTTTATGTGTCTTAAAATGTAAAACTCTCGGGCCCATTCACAGACCCTGGTGAAAAGAGCCGCCTTAGTTGGGCTTTCAGTATGTCTGTCATATCCAACCCAGCTGAGTGTGCAATTCAGGAAGAATATCTGGTGTGGATGCCTGATAATGCTCTAATGTGTTTCTTCGATTATTTCTTTTCTTTGACATGCTTCCTGGAAAAATCTTCTACTGACAGAGCTGCCGGCAGAGGAAGGTGAGCATGGTTATGAAATCTTTTGCTAATTCTTGTTGAGAATTCATTTTTGTAAATGTGCATGACTCAATGGCTTTGTTACATATTGCAGGAAAAACCTTGCTCGAGCTTGTGATTGAACAATTTGAAGACTTACTAGTTAGAATTTTGTTGCTGGCCGCTTGCATATCTTTTGTAAGTATGATTTATTTAAATTTTTTTTATTTCCTAGGGTTCTGTATGGTAGTGTGACATACTCCAATGTATATGACCTGTACATACTGAAACTATTCTTTCTTCTCAATAGATGCAAGATTGCTGTCTCTTAAATTAGTTCCTTGTGACGAGGTTTCTGTGTGCTAGCCAACAAAAAAATCAGGGAGTCTTTCATTGCATGAGTCATAAGTACATAACTACACTAGACAGGTATTTTAAAAAGTGCTTCTCATTCAACTCAGTTTGCTTATTCGAGGTGGGATTTCCCAATGCTGCTGTTGGCTTTGAAAACTAACCTTGAGTAAGTAAGCGTTTAACTGGACATTCTTCTTGCCTTTGGGTTAATCTTTATCAAGCTCGATGTATAATCATTGGAAGACATTTTTGGATGCAATGCAGACTGTAAATAGAATCTACATGGCGAATATTCCAGTTGCCTTCCCTTCCTGATAATAGCAAGGTGACAGTTGTTGCTTTTGACAGTGACAAGAACGTTGACGGCTGTGATGGCACCATTGTTGACCAAATTTGGTAACTGACCTTTGGATAGTCAAGTCATTAAATGGACATCTTGCTTTGCATACAGGACTAAAAGAACAAGAATGTTTCTATTTTTTTTCTGAAAAAAGCATGATTGGGCAATCTTCTTACATTATGTGTAAATGTTATGTGCTTGCTAAAAAACTGGGAAACGGAGTGAAGACTCAGCAAAGGAAGGTGAAGGCTGTATTTCTTGGGGAGCTGGACAACAGAAACAAAAGCTTGCAGAATATTAAATTGTTTAGGTAGGGAGTAAAAGTTTACAGTAGACTTTGCCCTGGAGTTGTAATTAACAACTTGAAAAAAAGTAAATGCTGCAGCTCTTGGGGGCAGTGGAAATTGTGGTGACTCTTTAGCTAAGGGCAAGCTAATTAGGATGGGCAGAGGAGAATGTGCTCTGGAGCTGTTGTGTGGTGGGGGAAGGGTTGCCCTGCTGCTGCAGTTTAGTGCTGTGCTGGGGATCTGCTCTCCCCACACCAACACCTTCCAGAGGGCTCTTGCTTTGGGTCTGTAATTCACCAGTACCAGCTGAGCAGTTACTGGTGACATCAGTATTGACTATGGAGACAGATGTGCTTCACTCACTCCTCTGTTTCCTGGAGAGGAAATCAGGCTGGCTATTGAAAATTGAATAAACAGTCATTCAAAAGGTTTTGGTTTTTTTTTTTCCCCTTCCTCTTTCCCCTTTTCCTCACAGAGGATGAGAAGGGGATGTCTTTTTGTTCCTGAAAAGTCAGGAGTGTTTCTGTCATCTCATGGGACAAATGACAACACAGAGGTTTGTTAGCCTTCTGTGCCAAAGTACATTAGTTGTGTTTATTATAAATAAGTAAGTGAAAAATCAGACTACCCAAAGTAAAGCTTTGATTGCTGAGTCTGAGTAAGTATGAGACCAGACTGACAGAGGTCATAGAACATACACTGCTGAGTCCTCTTGGAAAACTTGATTAGTAGCTGAATTCAGTTGCTTTTTTCAGTATGGTTAATTTTCCTATCTAATTAAGAGGAGACTGTAGTCTAATGGAGTGTGGGATAGATCTGGGTTCTCTGCTTCTGTGCAGCTGACACGGTACATGACCTTGGGCTACTGCTCTGCCTTTTCTGTCTCCTATTTTGGAGTTATAGAGGCACACCAAATTGGCAATAGAAGATTTTTCTCTGATGAAAAGTAAGAACCTCCTAGATATACTATAGTTTAGGTACTTTAGAAGCTCTTCCCCTTTGTGTTTGTTTCTGGTGGTTTTTTTGCTCAGAAGCTGATCATGTTGTCTGTTTTCCTTAGGTTTTAACACTAGCTGATCATGTCTGTTTTCCTTAGGTTTTAACACTTTTTCTTGACGAAAGCATAATACAGACTTTTGTAATAGCTGTAAAGCACCGTTGGATGTGTTGATACAAGGATTGCATTACTGCAAAAATAGGATGTAATTACATCACCTAATTTCTGGTGTTCTTGACCAGCTGTACAGTGTCAGTTTAGAAAAATTTTGATTCAGGTACGAGAGAGAGGATCTCAAAGTATATAGATAACTTTTTTTTTTGTGTTGAAGGAGTTTTTATGGTGGTTGTGTTGCAATCATAAATCGTATTAGTTTATGGCTGTTAGAACTGCCTGCACAGTAACACACATCTGCAGCACTGAGACCTGCATTCAGTTTTGTGCAGGAACATCCCTTCTTATGTAGGGTATAAACTTCTGTTCAGAGTGCTTTTTGTGCCCTCTGCTCCCTCACTGCCTGTCAGGTACGTGTCAGTAAAATAACTCAGAGTAGCAGCAGCTCAGGCTGATTGCTGGGGTCAGATGCTGTGTGTCTGTGGGCTGTGGATCCTGTGTCCTACATTCCAGGTCATAACTGCTGTAAGAGATGTGCCTGGTTAGTGAAAGCCTTAAGTATGGCTTTTGAAGAGAAACAGTATAAATAATTTCTGATGATGAGTAAATGGATCTGTGAGTAGACTTGTCTCGGTCTTCTGTTGGATCTGTGAAGCCTCTGCAGAAATAAACCATGGAGTGTATTCATGGATTTTAATTCTTGATGCTTGTGATCTGCAATGTTTACTGAAAAGAACAGCTTGTTTTGCTGTATAAATGATTTTGACAGGTTGCAAAACGTTAACTGCATCTGATGTAGAATAATTCCTTGGTGAATTTAAACTTTAAGCAGTGGTGTGTGCTGAACTCTGCAGTCTTAGCTCTGCATCACACAGTGGATTTCCTCCTACAAGGTACAACGTAGGCTGTAAACTCTACCAAAACTTGACATATTTGTACAGCATCCTAAGAGCATTCCCTCCCCTCGATTATTCCTTTGATCCCTAAGCTGGCTTAGAAGTGAACGTCCTGAGAATGTTTTCTAATAGTGAATATCTGTGCTTAGATTAAAACAATACACTGTACCTTTAGCCCAGAGATTGTAATAGCCTGTAAATTAGCACGAGTGTAACCTACCTCGTGGTAAAAGGTGAGCGAAGGTCCTCTTGGAGGAAGTAGGATGTGTCAATAACATTGTTGCAGGCTTTGCCCTGAAATTACCCCAAAAGCTACCTGTTAAGGTCAGCAGCAGTGAGTGTGTGGCACAAGATAAGGATTGCTGTAGAATGTGACACTGCTTTTAGCTAAACTTAGATTGCTCATTAGCATGAGGGTAGGGGTGATAAAAATGTG